CAACCCTAAACCTATGCAATCTTGAACTGGCTTCTTCTTGATCGTCCGATCTTTGATTCCTGAAAAGTTAGAAGCAACAAGTAGTCCAAGAGAAAAAGTGTTTGTCAATCATCAAAACACAAGCCATGAAAAATAGATTTGCAATAGTTGTGGGATTAAAATGTCCCCCTAAAAGTTAAGTTAAAATTCTATAAGATAGGGTGAGACCTACAATGTTTTATGGTGCCAAATGTTGGCCATTAAAAAAGAAGCATAATACTAAATTAAGTATTCCAGAGATGAGGATGCTTAGGTGGATGAGCGGCTTTACCTTAGAGATAGAATACAAAAAGGGCATATACGTGAAGAAGTTAGAGTAGCTCCAGTGGAAGATAAGATTAGAAAGAGTTGGCTTAGATGTTTGGCCATATTAAACGGAAGCCTTCCTATGACCCGATTAGAAAAGTTGAGATATTAGATTTAACTTTATGTTAAAAATGATTAAAGTAGACTTAAAAAGATTTGATTATAAAATATTAGAAATGATATTTCTTTATTAAATTTAAATGAGAACTTGATTTTTAATTAGGACAAATGGCCAACCCCACAAAATGGGATGAAAGCTTGAATTTGTTGTTGTTGTAGTGAATTCTTTCTATAGAAATGATTGCTTCTCTTTCTTAATGTGCAATAGTGATTTTTTCTAGCAAACATATGTTTTGAGTAGCTAAATAAAAACTGACAATATCATCCAACTTTAGACAAAGAAAAATTAGCTAAAAGCATGTACATAGAAAAGTCTCATATGAATATTAGTAGTCTCACTTTACATCATTGCTCACTTTTGAAGCAAAACCAACAATCCGTTTAGAAACAATTAGAATTCTCACAATTGAACCGAGCACAGTGCAGGCAAACACTAGAAGTAGCTTCTTCATTAAACGTAGTAATCATTTCATAACAGATCACTTCCAAAATATTGAAGACTCTTAATAGGCACAGCTAGATCACTTACAAATAGTCACAAAAACCATCTGACATTAATCAACAAACTATTGCGAAGGAAAACAAAAACCAAAAGGATTAGAATAGACAGACTCAGGCCATAAACATGCTCAGTATACGTAGCGGAATCAATATGCCTAATTTCTTAAGCAACTCCGAGAATTTAGTCAACCTCTTCCATCTTGCTCTCCTCGTTACCTTCCTCCTCCAAGGCAGGCATGTCAGTGTCATCACCAGCAGTTTCATCCTCGTCAATGCTCAGTCCGAGCTTCAGCATGCGGTGAATTCTTCCAGCGAAGGTATTCGGGTCATCAAGGCTAAAACCAGACGTCAATAGCGCAGTCTCAAAGAGAAGAAGAACAAGATCCTTCACAGACTTGTCGTTCTTGTCAGCTTCAGCTCTCTTCCTCAGCTCCTCGATGATGCCATTGTCAGGGTTGATCTCCATAGTCTTCTTGCTTGACATGTAGGAGCCCATGCTGCTGTCCTTGAGAGCTTGAGCTTTCATAATTCTCTCCATGTTTGCTGTCCATCCATACTCTCCAGTAACCAAGCAGCATGGAGAGTCCACAATCCTATCAGAGACCACAACCTTTTCAACCTTGTCACCCAGAATGTCCTTCATCACCTTGCATAGACCCTCAAATGCAGCTTTTTTCTCTTCCTTCTTCTTTTTCTCTTCCTCCGTATCCTCGAGCTTTAGACCTTCCTTCGTGGCGGACACAAGCTTCTTTCCATCGTACTCCTTTAGCTGCCCAACAGCATATTCATCAATGGCGTCAACCATGAAGAGAACCTCATAACCTTTCTTCTTGAGCCGCTCAAGGAAGGGAGAATTTTCAACTGCCTTCCGGCTCTCACCAGTTATGTAGTAGATTTCATTCTGTCCCTCCTTCATCCTAGTAACGTAGTCCTTCAAACTGGTCATCTCCTCACCACTCTTGGTGGAGTAGTAACGGAGAAGATCAGCAATCTTAGCCCTGTTTTGGCTGTCCTCGTGGATGCCCAACTTCAGGTTCTTCGAGAATGCCTCGTAGAATTTATTGTAGTCTTCTTTATTCTCAGCAATTTCACTGAATAACTCGAGACATTTCTTCACCAAGTTCTTCCGTATAACTTTCAGAATCTTATTCTGCTGAAGCATTTCACGGGAGATGTTTAGAGGTAGGTCATCAGAGTCAACAACACCTTTCACAAACCCGAGGTACTCAGGAATAAGCTCCTCGCAATTGTCCATGATGAAGACTCTACGAACATAGAGCTTAATGTTGTTCATTTTCTTCCTTGTATCAAAGAGGTCAAAAGGTGCTCTCTTGGGAACAAACAGAATGGCCTTAAACTCAAGCTGCCCCTCAACAGAGAAGTGCTTGACTGCAAGGTGGTCCTCCCAGTCATTAGTCAAGCTCTTGTAGAAAGATGCGTATTCCTCCTTGGAGATTTCTTCCGGCTTCCGCAGCCAGATGGGCTTCTGCTTGTTGATTAGCTGCCATTCATGAGACACTTCCTTCACCTTCTTTTTCTTCTTTTTATCCTTGTCCTTATCCTGATCCACATCCTCCACGTCACCCTCCTCTTCCTTCTTCTCCTCCTCATCCTCATCATCACTAATCTCTTTCTCAGTAGTTTTTTCACTCCATAGGTAGATCGGATAGCTAATAAATTCAGAATGTTTCTTCACCAAATCCTTCAGTCTTCTCTCTTCCAAGTATTCAAGCTGCAACGAGTAAAAATCAAACATATGCGTTAAGGTAAATCTAATCAACCACATTAGTACAATTATAGCCTAAGCTGATCAAGATGAACCATGAGCACCCAAGTAAAATCATTGTTAATTGTATGTAATGGAAGCAACTCTGACCTGATCTTCTTTTAGGTAGAGGGTGATCTTAGTTCCTCTACCAAGCTGCTCACCATTAACATCCCTGGTCACAGTGAACGAACCACCTGCTTGAGACTCCCAAATGTACTGTTCATCATCATTGTGCTTTGTCGTAACAACAACCTTCTCTGAAACAAGATATGCAGAATAGAAACCAACACCAAATTGCCCAATCATGCTAACATCTGCACCAGCTTGCAAGGCTTCCATGAATTCCTTTGTTCCGGATCTTGCAATGGTACCCAGGTTGTTCACCAAGTCTGGATATCATGAAAACCGTTAGATACGGTGGCAAACCTTTCTTAATCTAACTCGAATAAGACAAGAATATCAAATATTTTACGAATAAATTTAAATAGCCGCACGATAATAGAATCACAACCGGAGTAGAGGCATATAAAGAACTGAATTCAAATTGTTAAAATAGTAAGAAAAGCGTACAGCGTAGAATTCCCAGACAACTTACCAGCCTTAGTCATCCCAACGCCACTATCAATGATGGAAAGCGTCTTGCTTGACTTGTCTGGCACAAGTCGGATGAAAAGCTCGGGCTGAGCATCAAGCTTGCTCTTATCAGTCAAACTCTCATACCTGATTTTATCTAAAGCCTGTACCATTTAAAAAACAGAACACAAATTTACTCAGAACTCCGTCTAAATCACGCAAGAAATGCAAAATAAAGAAAACTTATGCACTCACATCAGATGAATTGCTGATAAGCTCACGTAGAAATATCTCCTTGTTAGAGTAGAAAGTGTTTATGATGAGACTGAGAAGTTGATTAATCTCCGCCTGGAAAGCGAATGTCTCAGTCTCGCCCATCTGCACGTCGGCCATGGTTTAGAGAACGAGAAAAAGCCTAAGAAAACGAATCAAGATCGAGGGCACGAGACGAAGCTTGTCGTAGGAATCGAGAGCTAGTGAGAATGCGATTTCTTGCGTTTAATCGATGGAGAGAGAAGCGGAGCAGAAGGAACTTTTATAGGTGGTGTGGAGGAATTGGGGTTCTAGGACCTTCCCCAGCGAGTTGGGTCGAGGGGATTCTGGAGACTTCGGATAGTGCTCCTCGTCTTTCTGGGGCGTTGGGGAGTATTAGCTTCTTCTTCTTCACCGTAATGTTCTTCGGGAAACATCTAAATTCCACCGGAAATTTCTTTAATTTTCCCCGCTCCTTTATTTGTACTAATTTTATTGTAAGCGTTAATAAAAATTTTAAAATAAAAAATAATTATGAATATTTTAGTTATATTTTTATTATTAAAAAAAATTATTGAATATTTCACAAGTAATTATAATTATTATTATTTATTTACAAGTGCATAAAATACGAAGAAATAGAATAAAAACTTTTAAATCAAAATTAAATTTTAATAAATAATATCATTTTATTTAAAATTTTAATACAATATTCATAGTTG